GCGCAGGGAACGTGTGCACACTGGCCTCCATCCTCACCTTCTCTGCTCCCGTGTGGAGGGGAGACGTGGTCGACCCCTTTTCAGATTCCCATTTAGTGGAGGTAGAAACAGCCCTTTTCCCAAGGCCACACAAGCAGGAAAGGCCCGGACACTTCGTAAAACCCCAGATCCTGCCAGTGACGGGATCAGGGCACGAGGCGGTTCCCAGGCCGTGCTCTGCAGGGAGCCAAGGGGGAGGGCTCCGCGGGGACCCTCCTGTGGGTGTAGACCTGCCTGGGATGTTCGAGTGGGCAGGAGGGGGCTCCCTGCCTCGTGGCACAAAAGGGCTGCACGGCCCCAGGGCCCAGGCTAGAGCAGCTGGCCGCTTGCCCCACTGGACGCTGCTGTGTCCAGGTGCTGGGTGTCGGTAGCCAGGGTGGAGGGGACGGGGGCGAGGGTGGGGGCCACCAGGGCGACACAGCTCAGATGTCCGCAGCGGGTCAGTTGCCCCAGAGGCGACGCCGATGCACAGAATGACTAACAGGGACGCACATTAAGGCCGCTGTGGGCGAGAGGCTCGTGGCAGCTCCGTCCACGGCCTGTGTGCTTGCTTGCCCGTCCTCTGGGCGCCCAAACGCATGGCATGTGCATGCACACCGCCCTGCACGCCCCGCATGCTTCCGCCGCCGTCCGTGCCCGGACAGGCGAGTGCTGAGTCAGCCGGCGGGGACCTGCCTCTGCGCCTGCGCTGGGATGGCCGTGTCTGCGTCGCAAGTGGGAGTCTGATTAGCACCAGAGATGCTGACTTGGAGACTCACTGGGCTCCCCCTGGGGGCTGTGGGCAGCCCTCCCACCTCGTGCTCGACCCTGACCTGCATGGTGAGATGCCCGTCGCCCGCCTGTCCGCTCAGACCCCGGGACGGGTGGCAGCGTACGGGCCTTGTAGACGAGGGGCTGCTCGCAGGTCTGTCCCGCGCTTCAGGGGGGACGACACACGCCAGCGCCAGCCGCAGGCTGTGGTCACAAGGGGGCTGATCCCATGGCACACCAGGAGCCAGGGACAGGTGCCCCATCCCGGCTGCCCTGTGCACCGGGCCCTGGACGCTCCAGATGGCGTTGGGCCCGCGGAGGCCCTCAGGGGAGGCCAGGCCGGCTCCGACCAGCGGCCACAGCCCAGGACTGATTCCCCAGAGCCCGCGGGCCGCTGTGTGTCGGGGGTCCTCGTGGCTGGCTGCCCGGGTCGGGGGACATTTCACAGAGGAGGGGCCTGGCCCGGGACCTCGGGCGATGAGGGGCTTCCTCTGTGCCACTGAGGGTACCTGGGGCAGCCGGAGAGGGCAGGGCGCTGTTTCCCAGGGGACAGTGGAGGAGGGGACAAACGTGGCTCTCAGGCTGCCGGGGGACCAGGTTAGTCAGGCCACAGGGCAGAGAGGCCCCCATGGCCTCCTCCCCTCCCGAGGCCTTGGGTAAATACCCCCGGGGGCACAGTAGACAGTCACCCTCCACCCGGGGAGGGGTTGTCCACGTGCACAGAGCACCCACCCGACACACCAACGTCCTATGCGGGGTCCCCAGTGCTGCCGGCCCGGCAGGGGCTGCGTCCTCCCGGCCCGGACGCACCTGTGTTGCTTGGAGTTGGAAGAGAGGGTGTGTGTGTGGAGGGGTGGTGGCCGGGGGCTTCTCTGAGGCCATGAGCTGGCTGTGTGACCAGAAGGCGCCGCCCCAGCCTCCGTGTGCTGTTTGGTTGGTTTGTTTGGTTTATTATTTTTTTTAAAGATTTTATTTATTTATTCATGAGACACACAGAGAGAGGCAGAGACACAGGCAGAGGGAGAAGCAGGGTCCCTGCGGGGAGCCCGACGTGGGACTCGATCCCAGGACCCAGGGTCACGCCCTGAGCCGAAGGCAGACACCCAACCACTGAGCCACCCAGGGATCCCCTGTTTGTTTGTTTTTAAATAAAGAAACAAGTTGCAGCTGCCCTGTGGGTTTGGGGAGGACACAGGGCCTGGGCCTGGCTGTGAAGCTTCAGAGAAACTGGATGGTGGGGCACGGGAGGGACGATGTGCCACCCTTCCAGAAGCTTCTTCCCTGGCTTTGCCTTTATCTTCTCCATGGCAGCGGCGCTCGTCGTCCCCAGCCTGTCGGCACCGGGGGCCGCCGCCTCTGTGTCTCATGCCTGCTGTTTATTAGGACCTTTTGTGCAGGGCTCCTGATCCAGGACGGCGTGTTCCTTCACCCGGAACACTCGGCCCCACTGGACATCACACGCGAGCCTTTAATGAGGAACAGAGAAGGCCGCCGTCGGACCCGCAGGGGCTGGGAAGTTCTGTTTTCTGAACGATGCTTGTCGTGTCCGAGTACCTGCCCGTCACCGTGGGGAACACGCGCTTCCTAGGGTGGGGCTGCGGGGACGCCCAGGGCAGGCAGGCGGGTGTCAGGTGTCGTGAGGACCCTCCGGGGGCCAGCGGGGCACACGAACCACCCGCCGGGGGCCAGGGCCTGGCCAGAGAGACCCACCTGCTGACCCAGGGGCCATGTCCGGGGTCCAGGAAAAGAGGGTCCCCCAGCCTGGGCGAGCTCTCAGGAGGCAGGGAGCTTCACGGGGGACTCTCCCCTCGGCCCTTCTGAGCCCCTCATGCGCTGCTCCCTGAGCAGGTGGGAGCTCAGCCACGTGGCCCCAGGAGCACGGCAGCCAGGACGACAGCAGGGCCCCCCAGGGTCCCCAGGCTGGGCCACAGGCTGGCATTTCTGAGGAAGGGGGCCGGGGGCTAGGGCAGCCGGCCCAGCCCATCCCCCATCTGCTCCCCCAGGTTCCGTGGCACGCTGGTGGCCACACAGGCCCCGAGACAGGCCTCCGGCTGAGCGTTCCCAGGACCGGAGGCTCTGCTGGTTCCTCCCAGCACCTCTGAGGACCTGCGTCCAGCGCCTGGACCCCGTCACCGCAGCTCTGCAAGATGGGGTCACTGCGGCTCTTGGGGTCCCCTTCCTAGCCTCGTGGGGGCCCTGGCACGGTGAGCAAAAGCAGGAGGAGATGCTGCATCGTCACGGAGGCTCCAGGTGCCAGGGTCGCCCGGGTCCCAGGACAGCAGCCCCCTCAGTGGAGCCCTGGGAGGCACCGGTGTCTCTGGGGACAGTCACGGGCTCCTCCTCGGGCCCACGGAGTCTGGGCGTCTCTCGGGCTGTGGTGCGGCCCCGCCACGCCGACCACGTGGAAACAGCGCCCGTCATTGAGTCTCCAGGGGGCCGCTCTGAGCCAGAGAAAACACAGTTCCAGAGCAAGGCCGGGGTGACGGAGGGCTGAGGCCTGAGTCCGGCGCCGTCACTCGCCGTGAACATCGCCGCGGCCTCTGCTCGGCGGTGAGACGCCCAGGAGAACCCAGACCAAAACATTACAAGCAGGGGGACCCCACGGCCCTGAGAAACGGCGAGGACGTGGGCAGGACCATGTTGCCTAAAGCCGGGAAGGAGCCGCGGGTGACAGCCGTCCTCAGCGTCCCGGACGGGCGTGCTCAGGAGGCTGCGAGCCGGGCCAGACCCCGGGGTCAGGGGGCCTCACGGGGAGGACGGGGCGGCAGGCAGGGCCCCTGTCAGGGCGGGCTGGGGCCTGGGGGTGGGGCAGGTTGGATCTGACCCGGGGGATGGGGACCCGAGGGTGCCCTGGGGGCAGTGGGCTGGCTGTCCTGTGCTGCCCGGGGGCCACGGGGGACGGGTGCAGCCCAGCTGTCCCTGCGAGAGGCCTCCTGCGCCCTGGGGCAGCTTGGGGGACCCAGGTGTCCAGGGACAGGGAAGATGAGTGAGGTGTGGACAGGACTGGCCCCGGGCCCCGCCTGAGGATGGCGTCCCCACCACCCCTGCCCTATAAACACCTCCAGGGCAGCCGTCGTGGGGGGGGCACTCTGCAGGGGGGCCTGCGGGGAGAGGCCAGGTGACTGAGGACGCCTAGCACCCAGCCTGGTGAGACCGAGAAGTAGAGGGAAGGCCGCGGAGCGGCCAGTGCAAGAGGACGGGGACCTGCAGTGCAGGCAGAGTTTGGGGGCAGTGTGGTGAGAGCCCAGGCAGGTGGGACAGGGCCGGGGTGCTCAGGAGAGCTGGGGTGCGGATGGGGCCAGCCGGGGGCGGGAGGTGCCAGGGCGTGGATGGAGGACGCTGACCTGGGGTTGCTGAGGGGCCTCCGCCACCTGCCAAGGACAGGCCCGCCCATGCTGTGTCCCATCTCTGCCACATGGGGGGGGCGTGACACCCTCCTCTCCCCCGACTGGGGCCCCCGTGTGGAGACTGCCCAGCAGCCCCTGAGCCCCTGACCTGAGCCCAGGGATCCTAAAACTCACCAGGACCCCGGGATCCTTGCCTCGGACTGGGGTCACCCTGGGGGGTGACAGGAGCCTGGTGGGGACCTGGGTCGGGGCCTGTGGTGTGGGGTGTGCTGCTCTGTGCAAACCACACCCCGCTCTTCTGCCTTCGTGGTTTTCAGGGTCGTGTTATTCCCACCCCAGAGCAGCAGCTTGGGACCCCCATGCTTGCTCCATGGCCGCGAGCTCGTGTGCTCGGTCTGATGGGTTCCCAGGGCTCCGGGGGGCAGGGGCCCGGTCACCAGGGGTGCACATGCCACCCCACCGCCGTGGCCTCCCGTGGGCTCCACGGTGTATGACGCACACACTCCCCTCACTTGTCATCCTGCAATTATGCGGCCCCTGCTGTGTACATGGCGCAGAGCAAGAGGCTGTTGGGGCAGCGGGAGGGTGGGCCTCAGAGCCAAACCCTGCCCAGTGCGGGGCGGAGGACACGTGGCTGGTTTGCTGAGCCTGCGGCGCTCAGGGCAGGACCCCCCAGTCGTGTCCAGGTCGGGGGGAGGCAGGGTCCCCGTGGGCCGCCCCGGTGGCAGGTGTGCCCGCCCGGGTCCGGAGAGGAACAGGACTGGCCTGTGATGCGCGCGGCCGGTGGGTGCGTCCCGGGCTCATCCAGTGCCCATGGGGACTGCGGGGTCTGCGGGGCTGACGCTCTCTTGTCTCTTTCCTCAGGTCTCCTGACAGACGCCGCCCCCCAGGGGCCCCGGGAGTGGCCTTGGCTCCCTGGCGCGTCCGCACCTCGACCACGGTCTTCCGTCCGTCGTGGACGCCACCTCTTCTCCGCCACCCGCCCACCCTCGTTTCCGTGTAGCCCATCAAGGACAGCCCGCCTCCCTGGCGTCGTCCTGAGCTGAGCGCGTCTGCTGCTGCGAGGAGTCCGGCCCGGGACACGCACAGGGGCCCCGAGGGCGTCCGTGGGAGCCCAGCCTCAGCCGCCCTCCCGGGCCTTGGCCAGGAGGACGAGGCAGCGGCCGCAGCGGCCCAGCCCGGGAGCGGCCGTCGGCGCCGGGCCCGCGGGAGGACTGGCCCTTGGGCCCCGAAGCGGCCTCGCCTTGTGCCCCAGACTGTCCGAATCACTTTTATTTTCGTACCCTTTCAGCATACTCGATAGACCAAAGAGCAAAATCTATTTTAACTTGGACTCGCCCTCACCGTCAGAGTCCGTGGGTTCGACTGGGGGACACGGGGGCCGAGATCCGCCGGCGGCCCCGGCAGGGCGCGGAGGGCGACCCTCGGCAGACACGTGCCCCCCACGGACGCTGCGGGGCCTGCTGAGAGGGGCCCAGCGGGGGCGGACCCGCGGCAGCACCCCCAGGCCCGGGCAGCGATGCCCCCAGGCCGGCCCCGCGGGCGAGCGCCCCTCACCGGGAACGTGGACCGCCGCACGCGGCCGGCCCCGCTGTACTTAGATGGACTTGACCGACTAAAATCACTTTCTGTTTTAACCAGTTACACATGCCTCTCTACAGCTCATTTCTGATAGTGGGATAATCCAGTATTCGCCGCGAGCATGTTGGGTCTCCCGTGACTGCTGTCTGCAACGACGCACCATTTAGCTCCAGAAAGCAAATTAAAGAAACCTAAAGTAACACTTGTTTGAAAGAGATCATTAAATGTATTTTGCAAAGCCTAAAGTTATATATTTAACAGTTTTTATATGTTGTATATTTGTAGAAAAAAATCCTATTTAACAATTAATGTGGTCGCCCTGCCCGGCCCACGCGGCGGGCGGGAGCGCCGGCGTCTCTGAAGGGCTGCGGGGCGGGCGCCGAGGGCCGGACTCCGGGGACAGCAGCCGAGGACGCGCCCGACGCCGCGGGGAGGTGGCCGTCATGCGCGGTCGACCGTGGGCCCAGGCGCTGCTCCCTGTCCAGCCCGGCCGCGGGGAGGCCCAGGGGGCAGGTGTTGGTCACGCCTCTCCCAACAGATCCTGTGTCCCTCTGCGTGACTCCCTCCCCACGGGCCCATCCGTGGGCGCTGCCGCGGACCTCCTCTTGGGGCTGAAGCCCACCCGCCCCGCTGCCTCTCGGTCCTCACGGCTGGCGGCTGAGTAGCCGGGGACAGGCCAGGGCACGCGGAGAATGGCAGGCGCCCCAGCCTCCCACGCCCTCCCCACGGCACAGGGCCGCCGGGCCCGACGTGCGAGGGACACTCCTGCGTCTCCGACCCCGGGCCATCGTCCGCCGGGGCCCCTCATTCTCCTGAGTTTGTGCTGAACTATACTACCTGACAGTCCAATTAACAGGCGCGCTCTGCTAGTTCTATGCTACTAAAAAAAAAAAAAAAAAAAAAAAAAAAAGGAAAGAAAAAGTAAAAAAAAATAATAATATTAAGTATATAGAAGCCGTCCCAGCAACCCATAGACTAAAGATAGAAGAGAAGACCCATTTATTTAAGACCCGTTTCGATGTCCATGAGTATTTAATTCACCTCTCGGTCACCGCAGGTTCAGAGGGCTGAGCATCCCCGAGGGAGCGACGTGGCCAGGCGCCGGGGCCGCAGGAGGGTCGCGGCGGCCTCCCCGAACCCGCGTCCTCCCACAGCGAGCGTGGGCTCCTTCAGAGGCAGACACTGGAGGATTAAGATGTTACAGCGTTTTTTTTTCCTCCTTGTTTTACAGTATTCAATTTTGTGTTGATTCAGCTAAATTATGAAAATAAAGAAAAAATCCTTTGGTAAGCATGATTTTTGTTCACAGGCTGGGATGTCCTGGGAGGGGGCGTAGCAGGTGCGGCTGGTGGGGCGGCTCAGAGCGCACGCAGCCATGGGACCCCCTTCCCGGGCCTGGGGCCCAGCTGGGTCTTCCAGAGCCTGGCGCGTGGACGGCGCTGCTCGGGGGCCTCTGTCGGTCACCCTGTGGGTGGGTGCCCGCCCCCGCCCCATGCAGAGGCCGGGGCCTGGACACAGAGAAGCAGGACCCCGAAGGAGACCCATGTCGGGAGGAGCCCCTCTCCGGGGAAGCCTGTTCAGATCTGCAAACAGTGGTTTTGGCGTCAGACTGTTTCCGCTACCCGGGTCCTCGGGCCGCACGTGGACGGAAGGAGCCACGTCTGTCCAGCTGCTCTTTATGGAACTCGGCCCTGGGAGCATGGCTGGGTGGGTCAGCGGTGGGCCGCGTGATTTCGAGGCGACGTCCCTGGCTTTGGCGCCGCAGTGGGGGTTTGACGAACCCCCCGCTCAGGGCCCGGAGCGCGCTTGTCCTGGGCGGGGGACTGAGGTGGAAGGCAGGTCCTGCGGTGGCCACGGGCCCCCTGGGCGGCAGGGGGCAGCCTGGGGCTGTGCCGTCAGAGCACGACGGGGCAGGCCGGCGTGACCAGGACAGGGCCCCCACTCCTCCTCGCACTGTCCATGCAGAGAGAGGACGAGCCTGGAGGTGCGGGAGTGGCATCCATGCGTGGAGACGAGAAGGGGTTCAAGCGGCAGCTCCCGGGAAGCTCAGCCACCTGACAGCTGCTTGCCCGGCCCGTGAGCCTCGACGTCGCTGTCCCCGAGGCGAGAAACTGTGGCCGTGGAGGAAAGGATGGTGAGTGCCGTGAGCACCGGGGCTCGTGAACAAGGACGATGGCCTCCAGCCAGAGCCAGGGTGTATCTGTCAGGTGGGCTGGGTCCTGCCGCCGTGACAAGCAGCCCGGCCTCACACATGTGTCTCCCCTGGTGCCACAGCCAGGGCACCTCGTGGGAACAGGCATCCTATGTGCCCATCTCCGAAATCCGGGGACGCACGCCGAGCATCCCCCGCCCCCCGCCCCCTGGCCTCCGTGCAGAGGTAAGCCCGCCTCCTCCGCTCCTGCTGCAGGTTGTGTCCTCTGTGCACTAGAGCGTCTGGCCTGTGTGCTCACGCACCCGACAGCCTCCAGGACGTGAAGAGGCGTCCTCTCAGGCTCGCACCCCCAGGCCCAGCCGGGGTGAGCGGGGGCCGCCTCACCGCCAGAGGCCTGTCCCAGACACGTGGCTTGTGTGGCGAGTGCTCCCTCCGTGGTGCCCGGCACCCGCCGTGCTGCGAACAGGGCCTGGAGCTGGAAGACGCTGCCGTGGGACGGAGGGACGGAGGGCCGTCCACGCAGCCCTTAGGCCGGGCTGGAGCATCCGCACCGGAGCTGCAGAGGCCCCCCTGCCCCTGGACACGGCCCGGGCCGGCTACCTGGCTGTGTCATCGTGCTTTAGGCACGTGGTGTCGGCGGCTCACACCCCCTGCGGCGCCTGGACTTCCCCATCCATGCAGTAGAGGAAAGTGGGCCGCGTCCTACAGCCCTGGGAATGGGGCCTCCGGGGCCTGCTGCCCCGGGAGCGTGGGGACGTTTCTCCGCGTGTCCACCGGGCTCAGCTAAGGCTCCGCGGCCAGAGCACCACCCGGTAGCAGCCGTCCGGGGGGCCATCCTGCTCGGGGCCTGGCTGGGCCAGGAGTGGATGCGCTCAGCCCGCAGGGGCAGGGAGTGCATCTGGGGCCCAAGCGGGGTGTGCGTGCCTGGGGGGCCGTCCACACGTGGGTGCCCACGAGCACCCTTCTCACCACTACCCGCATGTGCCCAGCGCCTCGTGGGCCAGGGTTCGAGGAGGAGCCCTCCAAACTCCTGACCCCTTACCAAGGTCCGGGACCCCGAGGTCATGCTCAGAGGCGTCCATCGGGAGGGCAGCTGAGATGGGCTCTGCCCTGGGACCTGTTGTTTGAGCCTCGGACCGTCCCTGGACACCACCCGCCAGGCGCCTCCCTCCACCCTGCGTCCGCCAGGGCCTCTCCTGCTGGGCCTTGAGGAGGTGACCACTTGGCTCTCCTGGCCACCCTGAGAACTGGTGCCCGTGGAGAGGGGAGCATGCTTCCTTGACAGCGGCTCATGGACGGAAGGACGCCAAGATGCTCAGCGAGGAGCGGTGGGGCCTCCATGCGCCCCCCAGCCCCAGCTCGCCTGCTGCCAAGGTGGGAGGTCACAGGTCCCACAAGACTGGTGTGGCCGTGGAGGGGACTGCTCCCCCGCAATGATGGGGTGGGGAGGGGGCCACCTGCCGCTCAGAGAGGCCACAGGAGGTGAGCACAGGTGGGCAGCACCAGAGAAGGCCGATGGGTCAGGGAGGGGGCAGTGCCGCGGGTGGGGTGCTGGTCAGGGGGAGCAGGGCCGGACTGCCTTCCCCATGCACGCGAGTCCTGAGGCCCCATGTCAGGTGTCTGGCCGTAGGCCCCCTGTCAGCCCCCACCTGCCCCCTGTCATCCCCCACCGGCCCCCCAGCATCCTCACCCCTTGCCGTGACTCGCTGGCGGCCTCCCCACTCACCTGGCAGGTCACAGGGCACACGCTGCCTGGGTGTTGTGGCCTCTCTGCAGCCCCCCTGTGGCCCCTGGTGGAGAGGGACCCAGGGAGACGGGGACACGGCTGTAGGCGGGTCACACACACCCACACGCCTACCCTGCACAGGCCCTTTGCTGCTGCCGTGTTCGTGGGCGGCAGGGTCTCCACGCTGCCTCGGTTTCCACACTGCGTCCCAGCAGGGTCAGCGCCGGAGCCCCGTGGTCTGTCCATGTGGCCATCTGTCTCTTAGCCCCGCCCCACTGGCCTCATACCGGCATGTGACTCCCAGTCCCCGTGCCCAGCGTCGGGCACCCCCTGTCGACATGCCCAGCAGCCTCGGAGACCCTTTCCGGTGCTGGCGGGTCCACCTTCGCGGCCGTGCATGCCGTGTCCATCTAGCGGGCTTCTCTAGTGGACACGCCACATCTGAAATATTCTTTGCTTCTTCCTTCTGTGCCCAGAGTCATGGAATTGTTCTCAAGTAATAACCACATTTATTTTCTGCTCTTACGAGTGTCACCCCATTTGTCCCTCCCACCAGCACTGCAGGGAGTACATCGGTCTCCTTCCTGGGAGGGTAGATCTGCGAGTAATGGAGGCCTTCGTCCCCATGGGGACGCTCATGGAGACTCACCCTGTGAGCCCAGAGGAGCGAGCCCAGGGGCACCCACCCAGGTCCACCAGGCCATCCCACTATGTCCCATCCCATCCTGTCCCATCCCGTCCCGTCCCATCCCATCCTGTCCTGTCCCATCCTGTCCCAAGGGTGGAACATGAAGCCTGCGGAAGCCTCCAGCGCCATGGCGCCCACACGCTCTGCAGACGGCAGGTGTTTTCGGTGCTCGAGAGATGGCAGGAAGGTGAGCAGGCCAAGGGCCGAGGCAGCAACGGGGCCTCCAGAGTCCCTCCCGGACGGTGGCATCCACAGCCCGTGACACCAGGGTGGGATGAGGCCTTGCCACCCCATGCAAGGAGCATCTGGGCAAGGCCGTGTGGGAGCCCCGGTGGCGCAAGCCGGGCCGGGGTCTCCGGGAGCCTGACTAAATTTTGCTTGAGGGGTGCGTCTTGGTCACGAGCTTTCTCCACACGGGAGTGAGATGCTGGCTTCCACGTGGAAGCACCCAGGACCCCCTCCCTGAGCCCGGCCTCCTTCTGGGCACGCGGGAGAAGGAAGAGCTTGCACCCGGGGAGGTGGCCTGATGGTGCTGAGCCCATGGCCACAGCCACGACGCTGACGCTCCTCTGCAGAGAAGAGGGGAGGAGGGTCGCACTCCGAGGCTCAACCTCCTTCCTCCCGGGAGGGCGGGTGCACCTCAGCCCACGGGGGTCCATGGGCCCGTCATCCCAGGAGCCTCCCCAGGGGACAGGGCCTCAGCACCAGGCAGACGGGCCGGGCCGGCTTCCCTTCCAGGGTTCGGGGGAGCCCTAGACTCACACGCACATGCGTGTCCCCAGGAAGCAGCCCCGACTGCTCAGCTCCCAGCCCCGGAGCCCGGGGTATGTTCCGGTCGGGCCCAGAGAAGGTGGGGACACACAGGGCCAAAAGCCCGGGGCAGCCTGGAGCTCTGGCTCAGGCTGGGCGCCGCCAGGACCCCCAGGTCTGCCCTTGGGCCGCAGCAGGGAGGCCACCGCCGGCCTGGGCTCCGTGAGCAGGAAGGGAGCACCCGTGTCTTCTGGAGACGGCTGAGATGCGGCTTGTGGGGAAGTTGGGGCCATGCCCTCAGGAGGTGCCCCGGGCGTCCCCCACAGCTGGTCACCCCCCACCCGGCGCCTGCCGAGGTCCTGGGCAAGGGGCTCCCTCCGGTCGGGGCCAGCGAACGCTGGGTGGAGGGATGAAGGGCAGGTGATGGCCCGGGCACGGAGAGCGGGGCCGCGGGGGTAGCCAAGGGCACAGGGGTCCCGGCCCGAGGGATCTCCGTCTCCCAGTTTTTCGGGGGCAGTTGTCAACCCCATTTGGGGCATCGCCTTCATTAACCTCACAGATGACACCTTCACTAACGAAATCGATTTGGTCCAGTTACCAATTTAATTCCCAACATGTGGCCCCATTTCCCCCACGTGGACCCCCGAGGCTGGGCGGCCCCCATCGTCAGTCACCGGGAGAGAAGGAGCTTCCTGACTCCCAGGTAATTTAAGGTACTTTTCTGCTTCGGATTCATAAACCCGCCGGTCATGACAACCGCACAGCCCCCGACTCCCCAGTCCGGGCAGCGAGGGGCGGGGATCTTCGGGGGGAGCCCGGCGCGCACCCTGAGCCCCGGGACGCCTCCCGCTCGGGCGACAGGTGCTCGGCTCAGCAGGGAACCAGGTAAAACCACCCCGATGGGGCGCGACCCCGGGACGCTGTGGGAGGAGGTCAGGAGTGGCTCAACCG